GATTTGGTTTAATTTTCCTCAGCTTAAGCTTGAATTTGCATATGAGTAGTTGGTGGTCTGTTCCACAATCAGCTCCTGGCCTAGTTTTCACAGCCGATATTGAGCTTCTCCAGTGGTTCTTTCCACATATGTAATCTATCTGATTCCTATGCATGCCATCAGGTGAAATCCAGGTATATAACCTGCGTAGTCTTTACAATAACTTATTATGCATCCGAGAGCTGGACAGTAACTGATGATGATAGAAGAAAGATTGATGCCTTTAAGTTGTGGTGCTGAAGAAGTGTTGAACATACCATGGTCTGCCAGGATAACAAAGAGATCTGTCCTGGAGGGGGTGAAACCAGGCTACTCCCTGAAGGCAAAGGCTCTGACACTCCGTCCCACATATTTTGGGCATGGGGCCAGGAGCAATCAATCCTTAAGGAAAGACATCATATTTGGAAGGGTGGAGGGACAGTGCAGGAGAGGAAAACACAGGATGAGATGGACTGACTCAGTGACTGGGAGAAATGGGATTACGTCCATCAGAGACAAATTGGCTCAGGATAGTGCAGGGTTCAGAGCTAATGTACAAGTCACTATGAGTCACTGGCAACTTGAGGGCACATAACAACAATATACTTTTTTTGGGGGAGTGATTATATATTTTTTCTATTCATATACATTGTATATCACACATTCCTTTGTTCCCATTCTGTTTCATATGATCATTCCCGTACACTGTTTTATAAAATTAACCATCACTGATCTACGTTCACTATTGCACCATCTTTTGGGATCTCAATGTATCTTTCCTGATTCCTCTACCCCCTCCCTCCACCCACCAAACTCTATGGCCTCGTGATTTGGCCCCTCAATCCCTTCCTCTTCCCTCTCTGGACATTTAGACAACTTACTAGTTATCATTCTATTTTTACAACAATAGTCTTATGCAGTATTTGTGCTTATGTGATGGTGTTAATTCACTCAGCATAATGCTCTCTAGCTTCTTCCCTGTTATATATTTTTTAATTTATTGCTCCTGAGTACATCATGTGAATGTACAAAACTTTCTTAATCCATGTTCTTGCTATTTTAACTAATGCTACTATGAATACTGGTGTACAAATCTCCATTTGTGTCTCAGTTTTATTTTCCTTAGGGTATTTCTAGCAGTGGAATAGCTGGGTCATATGGAATTTCTATATTCAGCTTTCTGAGGAAACACCAAACTGCCAGCCTGTGTAGTCATACCATTTTACAATCCCATCAACAGTATATGAGAGATTGAATCTCTAAACATCCTCTCCAACATGTTTTGCTTGCTGTCCTTTTAAATTTTGCCACTGCTTCTGGGTTGAGATAGTATCTCACTGTGGTTCTGATTTGCATCTCTCTCATCACCAGTGATTTTGAGCATTTATTCATGTGTCTGTTGGCCGTTCAAATGTTTTCCTCTATGAAAAGTCTTTCCATATCTTTTGCCCATTTTTAATTATCAGAGTTACTCTTCTTGAAGGCCCTGAAATATTCTGTAAACTTTCAATATAAGAGCCTTGTCCAAGATGTCACTGTCAAATATTTTTTTCCCTGTCAGAAGGGATTTTTACCACCCTACTGGAAAAAGTTTTTGATGTACACAGAGACTTAATCTCATTCATTAATACTATCCTCTCCTGGGTTTCCTTCCTTCCTTCCTTCCTTCCTTTCCTTCCTTCCCTCCCTCCCTCCCTCCCTTCCTTCCTTCCCTTTCTCTCTTTCTCCTTCTCTCTCTCTCAAAAAGTATTTGCATAAACAACAAATGCTGGCAAGGTTGTGGATAAACTGGAACCCTTATTCACTACTGGTGGGAGTGTAAAATGGTGCAACCACTATGGAAGGCGCTTTCTCAAAAAGCTGGAAATAAAAATATCATTCGACCTAGCAATTCCACTACTGAGAATACACCCTAAAGAATCCAGAACTGCCACCCAAGTAGATATATGCACACCCATGTATACTGCCCA